CTTCTTTGGGCAACCTGTTCCAGTGTCTGACCACCCTCACAGTGAAGAACTTCTTCCTAATATCTCATCTAAACCTCCCCTCTTTCAGTTTAAAGCCGTTTTCCCTTGTTCTGTAATTAACTGCCCTTGGCCAAAGTCCCTCCCCAGCTTTCTTGTAGCCCCTTCAGGTACTGGGAGGCCACTAGAAGGTCTCCCTGGAGCCTTCTCTTCTCCAGGCTGAACAGCCCCAACTCTCTCAGCCTGCCCTCATAGCAGAGCTGCTCCAGCCCTCGCATCATCATGGTGGCCTCCTCTGGACTTGTTCCAGCTGCTCCAGGTCTTTCTTGTGTTGGAGGCTCCAGAACTGGACACAGAACTCCAGGTGGGGCCTTACAAGAGCAGAGTACAGGAGAAGAATCACCTGCAGCACTTGCAGGAGCTGCAGCAGGGTTTGGGTGCTCTCAGAGTTAGAGGATGGGGAAGATCTGGGCATGCACTGAAGTCCTCTGCCTACACAGCCATCTCAGGGTGGTGGTAAGTCTCTCAGTACTAAGGGCATGGTGTGTTGTGGCCTGTGCCACTGCAAACCAATGCTCTGCATGCTTGTGCTCCCAGCCTGGTCACAGAGAAGACTTGTTTAAACCTGACACTTCTTGTGTTTCTTTGTCTACTTTGTCACATAAAATATTGCTTTCTTTCAGCTTGAGTCTTCATTCCAGCGGCAGGATGGGGAGTACACAAGGGTGCAGTGGCTGGTGGTGCTTTCTGGCTTTTGTGATGTGCCAGTTTGAATCCAGATCAACTCAACCTTAGTGAACCATTCTGAAGGCCTGTTCTGCCTGGGGGTGATGGGCCCCAGGCAGGACGTGCCTGCCCGTGCACAGTGGCTGCTTGCTACCTCTGCCTTGTCAGCACCCTTGCTCGACCAGAGCCATTCTGAACGGCCTGTAACAGCCCAGATTTCCTCCAATGCTTTCCCCATCAGTGCCCCTCCAAAGGGGTGGGGTTCTTTTCCTGGCAGTATCCATCAGGCTGTTTTAAAGATGTGTAATCTCCTTGTAAAGAGAAGGAGCCAAATTTAGTGTAAGGTGCCATTTCAGTGGGTGATGACTTGCTGCTTTCTCCAGGAACTTTTGCTGTAAGAAGGCAACATGTCTCCCCAGAATGTTTTTCTTTTGGGGGGGAAAAGAGCAGCACACATTTCCCCATGAGGGGAGAACAGCCAGATCTTGCTGTATCAGTGCAGAGGCTTACTTTGTAATTGTATCAAGACAAGAGTTGAGATAAGACATAAATGAGAGCAACTGGTGAAGTGCCATGAGGAATGATCAAGGCCTGAAACCCTCCCTCCTTTCCCACCCCCTTGAGACACATATTGCAGTGAGGTGCAAGTTCTCCATCAGCTGCAGTGAGGCATGGGCTGTGCCAGACATTACGTAGAGCAGGGTTCAGTCCAAAGCCAGGGTGAGGTACGCTTTGTGTATGCCTGGGGTACAGTCTTGGCCTCATGGATGTTGATGGCAGTGTTCCCATTGACTTATTGGGTCGGAGGGTTGCCCTTGGTTTCACTTTTTTAATCAATGTCTGTGGGAGGAAGGGAGGAGTCCAGGGTGTACTGTGACCAGAGCAAATGCAAGAAGGTTCTCTGGGGTTGGCAGTGTGGGAAGAGACAGAATTCGCTGCCCACCTGAGTAGTAACTTGGGTCAACAGAACTAGTTTGGTCCAGAGCAGTAAAGCAGTTGAGAGACAAAGGGAGAGTGGCACTAAGTCTGTGTAGGGTCAACAAAACCCTTCCCATCTGATGGGAATGTTCTGGAAGTGTGATCTAGGATCTAAGGGGACTTTGTCAGTGTGTTACCTGTTACTAGCATGGGTTTCAGTGGGACTGAATGGTGGGATTTGAGCTGTGGTTGTTCCCCTGGATCTCCCTGATGGGGGACTTGCCTTCCCATGTGTGTTCAGAAGAGGATGATTCATGCAGGCCAATGGCCTGTCACACTTAGGGAAGCTGTAATGGGGACAGAATTGGGATCTTTTTTCTCCGTCCCCCACACCCAGTGTCACTTACATCCTATATCCACAGGAACATGGTTCTGGATTATTGTATAAACAAACTAGTTGCATAAAATTACCCTTTAAAGACCCTCTTGGTGCTCTGGCCTCAAGGTTGTTTATCAGCCCAGGCCTAACTCAAAACTTAGGCTTAGATCTAAATCCAGGAGTAAAATAGAAGTGGTTTTGTCAGACAACTTGGTTTTAGCTACCACAGCATCATCTAGGAAGCAGCCTGATGGGGATTTCTGTGCCATTGTCCAGCTCCTTCCTTGTAAGCTAAGGTTTTCTTGTGTGTGTGGCTGCTCTAGCCTGATGTGGACAATGCAGTGGAAGCAGCTAAGGCAGCATTCCAGAGGGGAGCTCCGTGGAGGCAGATGGATGCCCTAAGCAGAGGACGACTCCTGCACAAGCTGGCTGATCTTCTTGAGCGAGACAGAGTCATCCTGGCAGTAAGTACTGGGATTGGTGAGCAGTGATAAACCATCAACTGTTGGCTGATAACTCAGCTCTGTCCCTCTCATTTTGCTGCATCCATATCTACCTAATGTTTTTCTTTTCTCTCCCTTTATGAAAGACAGAAGAGTCCATGCAGGACTTATGGCTCATATTCCTGTTTCTGCAGGATGATTTTAAGGGTCTCAGAAGAAGGCTGTTAGTTCTTCTACATAGTTGAACTCTTCTCCAAAACTTTATCTAGTTATTGAAGTGATTACAAACATTAATACTGAAGTTTTCAAAGCAATAAAAGTTCTTTCTTAGTTTAACAGTCATCAATGTTCATAGCTGTCTCCCAGCTCTCATCTTACAAAAGCACAAACATACAAACAAAAACGCCAAAGCAACAAACAAACCCAAAACAAACAACAGCACAAACCAACCAGAAAAACCCCTCAAACCATCACAACTGATTTGGTCTTTCTTTGTTACAAAAATGCAAAGCCAGTTTGACTTCTTTGCAAATTGTTTCCCCTAAAATGAGGGGCTGGAAAGAGAATCTTTCTCTTGCTGGATGTCATCCAAAGTTTAAAATGCGTGTAAGTGGGAACTGTTTCTTCCCTTACTGAATGTACTGGCTCAGGAAAATCTCTTTATAGCCGTGAAGCTGTGTTGACTTGGACTTCTGCACTGAAAAACTATTGCTAATGATTCCCCATCCTGTCCTGAAGGAGCCCTTCTGGTGCAGAACAAGGGGAGTAGGACCCAAGCTAAAATGTACTGCAGTTGGCAGAAGCCTTTAGATCCTATGAGCCTTGGACATCTTTCCAAATTATGCCTACAGCTCCTTACATCTCTCACCTTAGAGCTGCTGTCAGCCCATACCCAAGATCTTGGACCTGAGCACTCCCCAGTTCAGTGCTGCCCTTTAGCTCTGCTTATCTTCAGGAGAATGGCATTTTTGACATTTAGCCCTGTTCGATGTGTATGTTCCTGAGCTGATGTCCCACTGAGGTCAATAGGACTTAACATATGTGGGATGTGCTCACGAGCCTGTACTTGCATGATTATTTTGAGCTGGGTCTCTGTCCCCAACACAGTGTCTCTTAACTACATGACAGCTTCCAGTTTCAACAGGATAAAACCAAAAAAAATCCAGGTCTGAAGGCAGTTCTGGCCAGCAAATAAAGGGAGAAAAAAAATATATGTGTGTGTGTGCATGTGTGAATACAGCCTCTCCATTTTCTGCTCACTTTTTGATGTGACTTCAGAGAGCCCTTCTTTTTCCATAACCAGGCCACTCATTTCAAGCTTTCTGCTGTCCTGATTTGGGAGGGCTTGTTTGGCATTGTTATTTTCACTGCAGAAAACCAGCCATAGCTGCCTTGGCTGCAAGCTAAGTAATGACTTATAAAAATCAGTTGTTTTAGTAGACATTCAGAGTGGATAACTATCCTAGTCATTCCAAAGGGAATGTCTGTTCAATTGCTGTTTGGACCATAATGTCTGTGGAAGATGACAGGGTATGACTTCATATGTAAACAAAGATGTTTCAATCTACCAAGGGATAGTACTTCCTTTATGGATGTGCTGGCCATTTGCACCAATATCCTATTTAATGACCTGAGTAGAGAACAAAGCATTCACTGAGCTAATGTCCAGAACAACGAGAAGGACACACAGGCTGAGACTGGACTTGATTGAGAGCTGTTCAGCATCAGTGCAGCTTTAGTGAAGCAACTTCTCCCTTGCCTTAGTCTCAGCACACATCAGAGCCCAAAGGTTAATTTACTAGAAGTCTGTAAAAAATGTGTTTTCTATCATCCTGTGGACAAAAGAGGCTTTTCAGAGGTTGGTTTTAGGGCTATGAAGCAGAAAAAAATAGATTTCCAAATGAAAGTGAAGTGGGTCTGACTGATTTCAGTGACACCATCTGGAATGCAAAACATCTGCTTTGGAGGTTATGGTGAAGTCATGACACTCACATCATTTCTGCCCAGTGCCCCAGACCACAGCCCTGTATCCCACCCACAGCCACCTTCTTGGGGCTTCTGGAAGATGCACTTTCATTGCAGTCACTGAACAAAGCAACCTGTGTATGCATTAGGGTTATTTGGTCTAGTCCCTGTTCTGCCTTATTTGTATTAAAAAGCTCATTCCTAAAATATAAGGTGAGGGAAGGAAATCCCATATCTGCAGCACGAGGCAAAATAAAATTGAGAAGCAGTTTCTCTAAAAGCTTTTTTTAAGAAAAAAATCTACTTGTCTGACAGTGCATCCAATTTGGTTTTTTTCAGACTCTGGAAACAATGGACACAGGAAAACCTTTTCTGCAGGCTTATTTCATTGACCTGGAAGGTTGTATAAAAACACTCCGATACTACGCTGGATGGGCTGATAAAATTCAGGGCAGAACTATCCCAGTGGGTAAGTTCCTTCAGACCCAGTTTCAGAGCTGGGATGGGATCAGGGAAGGAGGCCTGCTGGGAGGGAGATTCATGGAAAGGCTGGCTTCTGAAAACCTGCAAATATAGCCTTGCATTTCCTTTCTGTCTCAGAATGCATTTTAAGCAGATGTGTTTCAAAATTTAAACTAATGGGAGAAGAACATGGATGCCTGGGTAGATCTAGCAGCTAGAACAAGTCCAGAGGAGGCCACCAGGATGATCCGGAGGCTGGAGCACCTCTCCTATGAAGACAGGCTGAGAGAGTTGGGGCTGTTCAGCCTAGAAAAGAGAAGGCTCCGGGGAGATCTTATAGCGGCCTCCCAGTACCTGAAGGGGCTACAAGAAAGCTGGGGAAGGACTTTTCATAAGGGCAATTAATGACAAAACAAGGGGAAATGGCTTTAAGCTGAAAGAGGGGAGGTTTAGATTAGATATTAGGAAGAAGTTCTTCATTGTGAGGGTGGTGAGACACTGGAACAGGTTGCCCAAGGAAGTTGTAGATTCCCCCTCCCTGGAAGTGTTGAAGGCCAGGTTGGATGAGGCTTTGAGCAACCTGGTCTAGTGGAAGGTGTCCCTGCTGCTGGCAGGGGGGGTTGGAACTAGATGACCTCTAAAGTCCCTTCCAACCCAAACCATTCTATGATTTTATGATCTCTGGAAAATAATGGATGGGCTCTTTTGTTGCTTTTTTAACAGAGAAACCTTTTTGGTTCAAAGTTCTGGTTAATTCTTAAAGAAACCCCCCCACACACACACATTATAGGGGAGTTTATTTATTAGGTATCACCAAAATCAATTAAAGTGCCAGAGAGTGGAAAGACAGAGGTTTCTAAGGAGATTTGTATGAAGGCAGCAGGGCTTCCACTGTCCTAGATGCCACAGGGGTGTGGCAGAGGGTTGATGTGGAATCCACCAGTGCCTCCCACCTCCAAAAAATTCCTGCATCTCTGACAGTGCTGACTCAGACGTTTAGAGAGATCATGTAGTGCTTTTTCTGAACTTTTATTAAAGAGAAGGTCTGAGATGTAGACTCCTCTCAAGAGCCAAAGCACTGAGCTCTTGGAGGGACCCTGACAAGTTTTCTGATACTTGAAAGAGTTTTTTCAAAATGTCTCCTAGGCTGCAGAGCCAGAGCAGGCACACTGCACTGTTGTAGCAGGGACAGAGAGAACTCTTTGGCTCAGCTATATAAGTTCAAATATAGTTTTGGGGCGAACAAGTTAAGACAATGGACATCCGTGTGGCACGATGAGTAATATGGTGTATTTTCAAAATTGGCCTGTTTTGTCCCTGCAGGCAGGTGATCACTGAGGCTGTATGAAGGACAGGCACTGCAGACAAAAATTAGTCACCAGAGGAAGGGCTCTGAAGGGCTGAGCTAGTTCAGTCTGTGCAGGTAGCAAAGGGAGCGAGGTCAGTCATGTGAACTGAGATCTGCCACCTTCATTCGGAGTAACGTGAAGCTTTGTTTGTCTGGACACTGCTCGTCAGTCCTGATTTGAGATGACTTCCAAAAACTGCAATTAGAAATGTTTGTGTTTCCTGTCAGATCTTCCCAATGAAGCCAGGTTTTTGGCAAGAATGAATTTGTAAGGGAAATGTCCTTCCTGCTTTCTCTCTTAAAGTGTAATAGCAGTATTTTAAGATGAATGGTATTACTTTACTCCTGGAGTTTCATCTTACCAGAAGTGTAATTCCTGTTACACTGAATATGTTTCCAGTACAAAATGGGTTTAAAAACTCTCCCCCTCAGGGAAACAAGTCTTTTGCTTCTTCCTATGAGACACAATCTGAATTAAATTTATGCTTGCTTTTCAGTGTAGTAGGGAGTTATCCTCAACCTTAACTTCAACACAGGGAGACAGCAGAAGGAATTGAACCCCTGGTTTTAAAAGGCTCCACTGTGAACGTGAGCAGTGTTTGGCTTTTGAGCTAATACAAGACCTATTCTCAAACAGAACTTCATCTGCTTGGAGTGTCCCAAAGGCACGAGTTAAGATGAACAGATAGAGGGTTCTTCATCTAATATGGTTTTAGTTCTGTCCCCAACCTGTTAGTGTGCAGTGGTCTTACAGTCTTTCTGTAGGAGCAAGGATGTTGACTGGTTTGTCTTGCTTTATTCTTTTGTCTTGCAGATGAAAATTTTGTCTGTTTTACCAGGCACGAACCGATGGGTGTCTGTGGAGCTATAACTCCAGTAAGTAGCAGTGATGGTGCCCTGCATCCTCCTTAGAACTGGAAGAAGTACATGTGCACTCCTCATCTGATGTCGCAGCCATTTGGTTCCTAGTTAAATACAGCTGTTCTGTAGGGAACTCCCATTTCAGTTGCCTGATGTAGTTTCTTGTCTTACCCCCATGCCAATTGCTCTTGGCAACACAAAGTCCTCTGCAATGGAAGGGTGGGTCTCCTAATCAGATGCTCTGTTGCTCTCTAAGGCTGACACCAGTCACCAGAGACCAGTCTGAGCTCTCTGACTCTTGCACTGCTGGGACAACCATCTTGTCATTACGTGTGCTAGCTTTTTGCTGCCTAGTGCTGATGCATGGGTTTCTGTTTTAAATTGTATCCATTACTAATAACACCCAGCTATTCTCTGAGCTTTCTGTGATTAAATCTCAATGAATAGAGTTTTCTTTTCCTTGAGGTCTCATTCTCTGATGAGGGGACAGGGTGGCTAGTTCTTGGAATACCTCCAGTTTTAGTGTGTGTTCCTTGCTCTGTTTAAACAGACAGCCAGAAAGACTTTACAGCTACATGGGAGACATAGTTTGTTCCTGTCTGGTTGTAAAATGCTTTGAACATGGTATCCTACAGGCCGTGAGGCAAATGGTAATGTGCCAAGATTCTCTGTTTGGATGCTTGGATCACTAGGAGTCCCTGGAATATTTTAACCTTTGGGATAAGGTTATAGGAAAGACTGAAAGAAATGCACGTGGGGTATTGGATTTGCTGAACCCTGGGAATACCAGGTCTGGACCAGTTCCTGAAGATATCTGGGGAAATTTAGCTTTTTCCTTCAGCAGGGCTGAGCTTATACTCCGTGTGATAAAATGGTCTATTTAGCAATGTCAGGGTGAGGCAAAGTGGGAGATGGTCGGTACTAGTTATCAGAGGTTTGGGTTGATGACTTCTGCACAACTGCAAGTTGAAGAATAGCTCATTAGATTAAATTCTGCTTTGTCTCAGAGCTGCTGGGTTAGAACAGAACTCATCTCTTAAAAGCAACACTGCTAATTTATTTGTAAGTGTGAATTTGTGGATTCCTAACATACTTGGCTTCTTTGTTGATAGCTGAACGCCCTTGGCTTGAGTCTTGACAAGAAGTACCCTTACTTTTGGCTTGCTTCCATCATCCCTAAAGTGGCATTAATTATTTTTAATGAAGAAATCCTTTCTGCTGCCAAATGACCTTTCTGAGATTCAGTGTGAGCTAGATTTTCCACTTCTTGCTTAGGCTCCAAAATCTACAAATACACAGGACCATGAAAGAAATTAGCACAGAGGAAACTGATGTGGACTGGTTCCTAATTCCAAATAAGAAAACTAATTGGAAAGGAGCAATTTAGAATTTGAAGAGAGTATAAGACCTCCGCTGGATTTCCATGACCGAACAACCCACTGCAGTTTCCTAGTTGTAAACCTGGAATTAAATTATATTGTATAACTCCTAACTACTCAGCCAATACCTCACACAGAAGAATGAGGCTTTTTCAATGACCTGTAATTCCCCCACATAAGTGTACAAAAGTGATGCATCAGGACCCTGCCTCCAACACCATTTCTCTAAACAACCAAAATCCTGTACCAAGTGTGATCAGACTCCTGTAAAGAATGAGGTCACACTCACAACAGAGGTTTGTCCAACTTAAAGGATTAGCTTGGGGACTGCCTGCTCCCAATATTTGGGATCTCAGGGGGAAATCAAGGAAGTTACACTCTGTAGTCCAAGCAAATGCAGTATTGTGAGCAGCCACCTCTCTTTGTGGCTCTCCTCCTAGTTGCTTCTTTCTCTCTGAACTATGTGAAGGTGAGGAAAATGCTGCATGAAAGTGAGTAGGTGACTGTGCCGAGCTGATCTGACCAGCCTTGTGTTCTTGCAGTGGAACTTCCCGTTGCTAATGCTGGTTTGGAAGATGGCACCAGCGCTGTGCTGTGGAAACACTTTGGTTATTAAGCCAGCTGAACAAACTCCTCTCACGTCGCTGTACATTGGCTCACTGATCAAGGAGGTAAGGAAATCTGAACATCCGTCTAGGTACTGTTCTTTTAAGGTCATAAGCAAGACTGTATTTTGAATTTGCTGTGTAGGTTTTTAGGTTTTAAAGAAGTTAAAGCCTCACAGAGGAAAGTGAGAACAACCTCTGTCTTCCATCTTTTCTTACAAAGGCCTTTGTGACTGGCAGTGGCTACCTGGGAGGTAGCAAAGATCACAAAACCTGTAGGTTTTCTTTCTTAGGAAACTATATAGAGAAAAAAATGTTGCTTTTATTCTTCTGCCTTGCCTTCCCCTCTCCCAAATGAGGGAAAGACTACAGCTCAGTTTTATTAGGCAATGAGAGAAAAAAGAGTGTGATTAGACCGAATGTTGAGTTTGTACCATTTTTAAATGGGATAATTCAACCAAGACAGAGTGCCATGGGAAACAATTCTTCATCATTTCTGCGGTTTGTAGGAAAATTTAGCTATGTTTGGCCTTTAAAGCCCACTCAATACTGACATTAAGGGAAGATCATAGGTTGGGATTTCAGAACGTTGGTTTAAGGCTTGTCAGGTAGGATCCCAGGTGCCCTTAGATCTATTAATCATACAGAGGTGGTGGGAGGTGCACAGTACCTTGTCAGCTTCCTATATCTACATATGTCACCAATTGTGAGGAAAAATAAAAGGGCTGTAGATATGCTTTTGCCTCTCAGCTGGAAAAGACTTTGTTAGGCTCAGTCTAACAATAACGATGATTTTGTCTGTTCTTGGCTTTGCCTGGGAGAAAATAGAAGGATACCCTAATAATTGACACTTAGGGCTCCTCTGTCAGGAAAAGCAGTGCAAAAATACTACCAGTTAAGTATCTCCTGCAGTTAATTGACTTTATAAGATTACACAAGACAAGTGAGCATAGGGTGCAGTTTTCATGACTTCTAGTTAGCCCTGCCACACCATTGCTTTTTTCACTCTGACATACAGCTCCCCAAACACGGGTGTAGCATTCCCCCCCAAAAGCCATTCAATTCTGATGACATTGATTTTTTTAGCTGCAATTCTAAGCTGCCTGTTTCTCACAGTTGTCCTTCAAGGCAGAATGGTTTTATTTGAAGATGCTCCTTTCTCCACCCAAAATTAACTAAATTCTTTGCAGTTTTTCAGAAGAATAAGTGAAACTTTTTTTCCCTCATCTTTAAAAGGATACAGAAGATGTTAACACACAAGCAAAGCTATGTTTTAGGTTCAATTAAATAATTTGGGGCCAACCAAAATATTTTGGCTTTTGTTTTTGCTGAAAAACAGAAAAAACTTTTTGGCTAAGAGTGACCTGAACCAATTTTTTGCTTCCTTGTGGCTTTGCTGTTGACTCCAGACACCATTACTTGCACAGTTTGACACACAGTATTTTCTTGAAAACTCATTAGCCAAGATGCAAAGTCTCTTAAACTCACTTTTATCATGGGCACATCCATAGAAGAACTCAGACTGCCCTTCCAATTTATTTAAAAAAAAAAAACAAAAAAAAAATTATGAAGATAAATTATGAAGATAAATAATTATGAAGATAATTTTTTGCAAGGTAGTATATGAGCAATTACTTCAATTTTTTATGTATTGGGAAGGAGCAACTGCATTTGTTGAGATTTTATATTAAAAAAGCCATAAGAAATGAAGTGAATGCTTAATATCCCAAAATTCCATTGTTACAAAATGCAGGGAAGACAATCTTGTGCAATCAGTAGTGGCGGGGGCTAGCCTTGAAAAGCACAATCCTTGAAATTCTTGTTTCAGGAAGTAAAAACATGAAAACAGACCAGTAAGTCCCACACTTCTCCTCGCACTAGAATTTCACCTAAAGTTTTGCCATTTGTCTCTTTTGGATAAATTACTAGTTGGCTAATCTAGGTTGTAAATGTGGTGGAAACTGGCATAAGTCTGTTACCATCTGCTCTTGTATTCCTGTTTTATTAGCCTCATAATCTAGTGAGGTTTTACTGACTTCTTAATCCCTCTGGCCTCTGAAGAACCACAAATGCCAACCTCTGTTCAAAACAAACTTTCATTCAGTTACCCCTTGGCTCCAGCTGCACAGCAGTAGCTGGGGGCCAAGTTTGGCCAAAAGACTCCCTCTCTTTTGACTTGAAACTGGGACTCCTCCAAGAATTCTTACTGAAACTTGGCATTTCCTAAGCGTGGCTGTTACTTTCACCCACGTCTACTCCAGCTGGTAGCACGCAGCCATGTTACTGGGAAGAATGGAAAACAGTGGGGTATCTGCGATGGGCTCCTTGTCTGCAGCTTGCAGTTTTTAATTGCAAGGAACAGAGTGCAACTAATTGAGGCTTCCTGAGAACTGAACTGTAGCTCTCAGGAGTGCAGATCAGCTCCAGAGTGCTCAAAATCTCTCTTTACAGAGCTGTATTTAACCTCTCTTTTTAGGTGGGTTTCCCTCCAGGTGTGGTGAATATTGTGCCAGGCTATGGCCCCACAGCCGGAGCTGCTATTTCTACCCATCACAGCATTGATAAAATTGCTTTTACTGGATCAACAAAGGTAGGTGATGGATTTCTCCTAAAATATCTGTTGTTCCTCTTTGCATTTTCTTCTAAAAGTGCCATCTACATAAGACTGGACCAATGAAATGTCAGTGATTTATAGAATCATAGAATGGTTAGGATTGGAAGGGACCTTAAAGCTCATCCAGTTCCAACCCCCCTGCCATCATCAGGGACACCTTCCACTAGACCAGGCTGCTCAAAGTCTCATCCAGCCTGGCCTTCAACACTTCCAGGAAGGGGGAATCTACAACTTCCTTGGGCAACCTGTTCCAGTGTCTGACCACCCTCACAGAGAAGAACTTCCTCCTAATATCTAATCTAAACCTCCCCTCTTTCAGTTTAAAATTTTTTTATATATTTCCAGCACCATTTTCCATCCCATTCCATGTGACAGGATTTCTCAGAACTGTTTGGGATTTGTCTAAGTCAGGTTCTTGTGTTTGTGATAATCCCATGTGTCTGTAAACTTTTGCCAAACCACCACATTTCTCTAAGAACTGTAAGTAATAGATGCTCTGATGAGGTAAGGCAGTCTAGAGGAGAGGCTGGCAGTGACTTAACATCGTGTCATTGACCTGATAGAGCTTCTGGGCAAGTTTGCCTGCCAGTCCTGCCCTGCAAGCGTGTGCAACTGGAAAACATGTCAGTCAGAGCCTTGAACAATTCTTCCTCAGCTTTAGTTATTTCTGAGGAACTAGGACTTAAATAAAAACACAGCCCTGTGCCTGAGGCTTCCTCTGCTGACGTAGATGGGATTAACATTTGAGCTTCTTTAGAGACCTGCACACTAAAGCACCTTCTATTCAGTTTTTTCCTGTAAATAGCTATGGCTGCATTGCTTAGGAGAGGGGTGGAAGTGAGATCTCTGCACTGTCGGACACCTACAGCCATCCTCTTCTGTACCCATGTGGGGGGAAGGTGCTCATGGCCTGGCCGAGTCCACAGAAGTGAACACAGCTGTAGCATGCAAACTAATTTGTCTCCAGAAATGACTGCTGCAAGTTCTCAAACATAAGCTTGCTTAGAAATGTGAATGTTTTTCCACTCACTCCTCTAGATTTTTCTCGCAATATATACGCACCCCCTGAAGATGGGCAGCGTCCAAAGAATGGAAATGCTGACACCAATGGGTGTAGTTGAGGCAAATGTAGTCTTATTTATTTCCTTGAGTAACGTTCTTCTTGCTGAGCATTTGCTGAATTGATCCATTCTTACATATATCTCCTCAACTGCAGAGTGTAATCTAACTGCATCATGATGACAAACCTGAATTGTATTCTTGGTTGGAAAAGTAACTCACTAAACACTCAAAAGCTGCTACATTTAACAACAGTACCATCTAGTGGCTTTGAGTACATGCTGAGTGCTTCTCTGATCCCACAGGAGACCGTGTGTTAAAGCCTCTGGTTCTGTGTAGGGATCATGGGAACAAACGCGAACGCAATAAAATAAAAGTTCACAATGAGCTTTTCCTCTCTTGATAGTTGGTCTAATCTAGGAGTTTACCCAGATACATGTGTCCCTCCAAATCCTAGATCAGAAACTTTTAGCCCAGATTAGATGCTGGCTGTGTGAAAACAATAGAGCTTATAGATTCATCCAGCCCACATGGGTCTGTTTGGGTTTTTAATGAAAAAGGAGTATCCAGTGGATTAAGGGCAGAAGGAAAATCTCAGCTGCTGGAGCCTGTAGGCAAAAAACTCGTGTAGACTCTGTGCTTGTCTTCCTAATCCATGGGTGTGCAGGAAACACCGAGGGAGACAGATTCTTTGCTAATACATGTGTAATTTAGAAGTGTTTTCTTCCTTCTCCACCCATCTGTGAGTTCAGCTGCATCTCTGCAGTATTTGCAGCATAACGCTACTGTTTCTGAGCCAGGAAGTGAAGCTAATTCAAAATACATTTTGACTAAGTTTTTAAGCCCTAGCTTGGGCTCAGTGCCAGCCTGGAAATACTAATCTTAAACTCCACAAGAATTTTTCCATCTAGATTTCTTTGCTTTCCCTTAGTTTATTAACTTACTCCTCTTCAGCCAGCTGTAGTTCTGGAGCTCTCTCACACAGCCCACCCTTTCACAACGGCCAAAAATGGACATTAATTCTGGGGCTGGTTTTGACCCAACACTGCATCTGTAGGAAACTCAAACCACTGGAGAACGTTATCCCAGATTTCTACCTGCTTCAGCCACCCACTGGCTTTGTGCTCTTCTATCTTTGTTAGCATCACACTTGACACACTGAGTTAAGACTTTGAGGGGAAACCGCTCATGTCTTCTTTGTGTCTTAATGCCACAGGTTGGAAAACTGATCAAAGAAGCTGCTTCTAAAAGCAACCTCAAAAGGGTGACATTAGAGCTTGGAGGGAAAAACCCCTGCATTGTGTGTGCAGATGCAGACTGTAAGTATTGGCTGCTGTGTTTATTTGCTGCAAGATGCTACAAGTGTGCTAGTTTTGTGTGCCTCTGCTGTCCTTTGGCAGTGAGCAGGACTGGTGTTTGCCACTACATCCACCCCAAAGGCTGGAGGAAACCCCTGTCCAAGAGCAGGATGCAGTTCTGCTTTGCTGGAGCTCTTCCCCAGCACAGGGGACGATTCCCATGGCAAACAAGCAGACCATTATGCTGTTGCCTTCCCTGGGGATGGCTGCAGTCACACATGAATCTTGCATTTCTGTGTTTCTGCTGTTGCGGTGCCTTCTTTTTGGTTGGCGGTGCTGCAGAGCTCGAGCCAAGCAGTGGGAAAAGCAGTTTTCTAAAATGCAGCCCTTCTGCAGGCATTCCTATGACAGGAGAGGTTTGTAGGACCTCATCTAATCCAGCCTTCACCTCTATCCTGGGGGTCTGCAGGACTCATTTTGCATCTTCCATCGTGACTTGGTTGCATTAGTGAGGAGGGCTAGGAGATAGGTGTAACCTGTGACCACCAAAGTGGTTGGAAAATCCTGTTTGGCCTGGGGAAAATAATCTCCATTCTCCTGTACAGCACAGCAGGAGTTGAAAGCCAGATGTATTTGTGCTGTCTGCTAACAGTGAGCATTGCAAGGACCTGGTCTGAGCTGGCTGTACAAACAGAAGGGCACACTGCTTTCCCATCACCACTGGGACTACTCTTCAGGAACTAACACACAGTATCTAGGAATCCACATCTGAATTCTCACAGCAAGAAAAACTGGTTGCTGCTTTCAGTGACTCCTTATGGAAGAAAGTATCAGGGGCTATGGCCAACTAGACCTTGAGACAAAAGGCAGGAAGGGGGGTAGAAATAATAAGAGATGTGGTTTGGGGGCAGGATGAGGCCTTGTGAGTTCCTTCAATGGGTGTGGACCCTTGTCAGCATTTTTTAAAGAGGCTTTCAAAAGAGAAAGGAAAAAAAACAAGTTTGGAAACACTGAAAGGCTGAAACTGTGCATGTGGTAACGCTTTTCCCTCCTGGGCCATGTTGCAGTGGACTTGGCAGTGGAATGTGCCCATCAAGGCGTGTTTTTCAATCAAGGGCAGTGCTGCACGGCTGCCTCGCGAGTGTTCGTGGAGGAGCAGATCTATCCGGAGTTCGTCAAGCGCAGCGTGGAGTATGCCAAGAAGCGACTAGTTGGAGACCCCTTTGATGCCAGAACTGAACAAGGACCCCAGGTAAACTGTGTGCCTGAGAACAGTTGTTGTTTGGTTTTTAGGTTGTGTTTTTGTTTCATTTTCCTTGTGTAAATATTATCCTTGTGAATATGGTCCCAGCGGAAGCGCCGAAGGGTGAGTAATGTATCATGGCTTTTTTTCTCTTTTAAATACCAATTAATCACAACTGTTGACATGTTATGTTGTAATTTTTTTAAACACAAATGTATTTAATTCACTTCTTATCCAGCTTTATGGAAGGGGCTGTACTGGTACAGTAATACAAAGCATGTTGCAGAGAGCAATAGCAGTGCACAGAAGAGTGCAGCTGTAAAACAGCCGTTCAGCTACCTGGCTGTGTTGATGATGACAAGTAGTTAGAGCCCAGTGGCTCCCAAGTCCCCACTTTCTCTCTCCTCCTTTGTCCTCTCTCTGATCCTTTGAAGAAGTTTCAGCTGAATTAGGAGAAAGAACCATGCCAAGCTGCTGTCATGCCCAGCCTCATCAATGATTCCAGAGCCTTCCTCTTATTTTTTCCTTCCGAAGCAATCTGAGCTGTGGTGTAGAGCTCTGGAGGAAGATGATCTTTGGGTCAGATCTTCTAACAGGGCCACTATTTGCTACCAAAAATGAGGCAATCACAGAAATCTATAGTGTAGGCCTCCTGTTCTCAGTACTGCACTATGAGTTCTTCTTCCTTGATGCTACAGAGAAGGGATGACTGTGGGGACATCTGCCTCCCCTTATCTGGATCTAGGCCTGTTTACACATGGTCCATGCATGGCAAACCCTCATTGCATGTCCTCATGCCTGGGGAATAAGATGATGTACATCCCCTGCTCATGCTGAAACTTGCTTCAGCAGAGCTAAGATAACCCTCAAACCATTTCAGGGTCTACTCTTACCTTCTGTTAAGGGCTCTCAGCTTTTCAGGTTCGTTGGTTTGTTTGTTTTAATATAATATCATCCTAAACCTTATCCAGCAGTAGCAGTAAGTGAGCTGAGTTTATAGTTAGTCCCATCAGGACCATGTTCACCTGGCTGCTCTGACAGACACCATTGATTTCCAGAGAACAGTCCCTGAAATCTAGAGAGTAGTTGTGAGGTTTTAAAGGGTGAAACACTCTGCAGTGAGCAGAACATGTAGACCTGGGCTGCTTATTTCAGTTCATCCCTGCTCCCAGCTCTTGCTGGGCTGTCAGAATACTTCCCAGTGAGCACTGTGGCAGAACACCATGATCTGGTATCACTGCTGTGGCTTAAGGGAGACTCTTTGTGTACAGAGCTATAATTAAGGGTAACAATAAGTCAGAATAGCAGTGTCTGGTCAGATTTTAAATATGGCCCATCTGTCCAACCTGTTCTGACTTACCTGTTACACTTGTAGCTAGGAGAGATAGCACACCCCCACACACACCTGAACTTCTCTGCATGCAACTGTCAAGCCCAGGATGGGAAAGTGTTGAGAGAGAGGGAGGAAACTGTTAATCCCAGAGCTTTCATGTGGCTGCCAGTGCAAAGGAACAACCACTTGCTCTGCAGCTATGGTTGCTCGCTCTCTGGAGCCTATGTTCTAAGATGCACCACACAGAAATTCAAGCAGAAGAGAGAAATAATACAATGTCACCAGGTCTTAAAATACCTCCAAAAGTAGCAAAGATTCACACCTGCCTGCAAGTTACTGTTCAAACGTGAAGCTTCCAGATCAAATTTTTCCTCTGTTCCTGAAGCAACCTGTTTGCTATGAGGAGTTTTTTATCTTGAACTGATGGGTAAGAGAAGAATCACCAAGAAAAAGAATCTTTTTTCTTCTTCATCTCTCCCCATCAGGCCTCAGTTGCTTCAGGTCGTTGCTTTCATTCTCTTTCTGTGTGGGTCAGGGTGAACATACAGAACAGCATTACAAAAATGGCCCCATGTAGATGTGTATACAAATTCTGTGTAGACCCCATTCTGGGATAATCACTGGCTTAGAAACCAGCAGTGGGAAGGAGCTGGAGTCAGCCTTAAGGCTGACAGTGGTTCTAGCCCATGATCTTTTTGGTCCTACATCAGCTCCAAGTGCTTGTAGCCAGACAAGAGGACCTGCAGCTTAGAGAGAGTTGGGGAAGTCTAAAATAGGAGAGCCTCTGCAGTCCAGGCTTTGAGCTAGTGCTCCGTGAAAGCGAGCTGCACCGTGGCTGAGCACAGTGCTCCAAGTAGCTGCTGAGACAACCTGGTGCAGGACAGCATGGGGTGACAGACAATACTGTTCCACGAGAACTTAAAGTTGGTGTAAGCTTGGTTCTGTCTGCAGCTGTTTGTTGCTGTGTTTCACTGCACTTATGAACTAGACTGGGGAACTGGCTGATTCAGGTCTAATCCAGCCTTTTTGGAAGTGAGGAGGAAAGGTTTTACTCATGTCAGTTCCCTGATGTGGATTACTGTGCACTGGCATGGATGCTCGTGGCATGGATGTGGGGAAAAGATTGTGTCAGCTGCAGTATTGGGTTATGCTGATACTAGCTGCAGTGCTCTGATCAAAATGAGGTCAGATTTAAACAGTATTAAATTTAAACAGAAATGAGGCATGCTTCTGATGAGACTCTTCCAAAACTCACATGTGTCTGACTGAGTGGCTGGCTGGAATTCAAAGGACACCACAAGAAACCTGAGGGGTGATCAGGACTGTTTGAGAAGAATGCCAACCTCAAACGCAGATCAAGGGCATTTTTTAACTTTGGATTCTTGTGAGCTGTATCAGAGGAAGTAATAAACTAAATCTGCACAGATGGCAAACTGGTTAACTAGTGCCTTACACCACTGTGAACAGCAAACTGTGTTAGATGAGACTAATGTCCTAAGGGACTAGAACAGGGATTAGGTTAGAACAAGACTAGACTAGTTTTGTCACTGTAGAACCCCAAATACTGGGATTTATGGGCTATAAGGCCTGGTTTACAGGAAGGAAATAAGCACTAAGGCTGCCTTGTGGCACTTGCTAGCAAGAAGTTTTTCAGCCTAAAACATTGTTTGATTTTTAAGACAGTGAATAGTTTCCTTAGACTGTAGACATTTGTGTACTTTAGGATTAAAGCATGAAAGTAAAATATGTAAGTAGAAAGAGTCCAACGGTCAGTTGGGATTTATTCTGTAGGATTACAAATGCTAGGTTAGGAAAAGGAAAAACTGCTCCTTGCAGCCTTGACTTAAATGAAGTAAGATAGGAAGGTTTGGGAGTTCTCAGATTTTCAGCATTGCAGTGATCCTTAGAAGCCTTGCTCTCTTTTGAATTAGGTGGACAAATAGTAGAATTTGCTCTAGCAGATCATGTGTTTTTAATAGAAGTCAACGCTTGAACCATAAATAATAGTGGAGTAGGGGACAGAATTTAAACAAGCCTTGCAAGCTCTAGTTACATTGACAAACAGTTCCACCCTTGCATGTCATTTTTACAAATGTTTTCTTTCCCCAGTGTCTTTTCATCTAACTATAGTTTGCCTTGCAACAAGTTACAGCTGTATAAATATCCTTGTTTTGTTTTCTCTGATGTGAAGTGGATGAACTGGATTGGTCTGGATCACAGACATGCCAGGATGAAAAGCACTTGCAGATATTTTCAAATTATTTACACTTGTCAACTAAGCAACCAGACAAATATACAATGTGTATGACACCTGCCAAACTTACTATATGACACTCTGTGGACACACATTTCCTTGTGACAGTAGCATGTATCAAGTGTTTTCTTGGGTAGCATCTTAACACGTGAGAGAACATGAGCACTTAGTACAAGCTGTCCAGAGTGCGTGTGAGATACACATCTGTGCAGGCAGGAGATGTGCTGTTCTCACTGTGTACCAGAAGTACCCCAAGGACACCTTCCTGAAGCTTTGATATTTGTCTAAAAGCATGAAAACTTGGATTGTGTGTGGCCAGGATTAACTAGGGATAGGATATGGTCTGTAATCTGTAGGAGTCGAGTGTGGAACACTCCGTGTAAACAGTCCCAACTGGCAACTGGCCCCGTTGAAAATAAAACCAGATGCCTAGGGAGGGGTATTGAATCAGCAACAAGCATCTGGAGATACCTGGCATTCAGAGGCTGCCAGGGCACCTTGAACCACTGGGTGGAGTCTTTTATTTAATCACTTCAATGAATTTGTAGAGGTTTTTGTTAGTTTTACTTTTTTTAAACATCTCCATAAGGCTTTTACCATCTGCAGCGCGCTGCGATGAGGTGTTTCATCGCTGAATTATGTAGCGTGCAAATAGCCACATCTGTTTGTTTGAAACCTGACAATACCTGGAGTACACTGCTGTGTGTGGAGCACAAAAGAAGGACCAACACTGACCAGAAGGGCTGTGGGCTTCTGCACCATTTCCCAGCACATGACTAACTGTGTTTGTGGAGTACGTGATATCTCCTCCAAGTCTGGGTGCAGGGCTGCACAGCTGTGTGACTTCAGCGTCTTGTAACTGGACTGGCCTTTCCCCACCTCTACTGAAACCCTTAGTTTAAAGGCGAGTAACACAAGAGTACTCACTGTTTGAAAAAACTGCATGTCTGGGTGTGGGTGGGAAGGAGTTAGGGTTGGTAGTTAAAAGCAAGGATATAGCTCCTAGTCCAGAGAACCAAAAATTGCTAGGATGGTACTAGTCTCGAAGATCTGTGAAAGGTGATTCTGATTTTAAAAGCACGGCTTCAGTGCAGTAGTTGTTCTGAAGTCACTATTTTTGAGGCTGTTTGTTTGTCTTTGAGGCTGTTTGTATAGCGTGTGTGTGTGCAAAGAGATGGAGACAGAGCTTGCTGGGTTCTTCCAGCTGGGGACAGATAGCTGTGGGTGAAGCTGCACATGACAGCAAAGTTGACCTAATAGTTTCTATACCCTGATTCTCCTTCCCTTGCACTCATTCTGTTGCTGCTCAGATCCCTTGCTGAGCTGACTGAGGTAACTAGCCCAGCAAACCCATCTCAGCTGTTCTCAAGGTTAAACCAGTGCTCAGAGAAGGTCAGTAAGTCCCAGAGCTGGAGTGAGGTGAGCTGTGGGAGTACATATCCAGGATACAGAGGAAGGGAAAGTGGGGACACCCCCTCCATGTGACAGCAAACTATTAGATCAGAATAAACAACCACATGTGACTTCACCTTCTGTTTTCTGTGGCTCAGGGTGATGCCCACGTCCTGTCTTTCATGCTGCCCGTTGCCTGACTGCCATATCATAGAATGAGATGTAAACTTACCTGGTGGGACAGAGCCCAGCAGGTGTGCCCCTGGGCTGCGTACCGCGACTCCCATCTCTGGAACAGTGATAATAAAGGCGCTGCTGTCTGTTTCTTTTCCTTTTGTGTCTAACAGATTGACCAAAAACAGTTTGATAAAATCCTGGAGCTGATAGAAAGTGGGAAGAAAGAAGGGGCTAAGCTGGAGTGTGGGGGTCTTGCCATTGAAGACAGAGGCCTGTTTATAAAACCCACTGTGTTTTCAGAGGTCACTGACAACATGCGTATCGCCAAAGAAGAGGTACAGTACACGTCACCTGAACCTTTATATGCATTTACTCCTGTAAATGGGAAAGAAAAGAGCTATGGTTGTGGTTTGAAATGAAAACCCGAGAGGAGAATAGAAGTTTCATTTATTTAACTTATTTCAGTGTCCTAACAACTGCCTAATGCTGAAATCCATTCTACTGAGGAAATATCTGCAAGGTGAGCTTCAGTTTGGAGTGTATGTGCGTGGGGAGGGGAACTGTGAGAGGAGAAGGGGGAGAGCAGAACAGGCAAAAAAACCTATCAAAATGTTTTAGCAGCAATTTTTCTGCAACTAATAGGTGTCTGTTTGGCAGCCCTTTCTAATGCCTTGCTACTTTCCCCCATTTTGTTTGGTTTTCCAAAGGGAAGCAGCCTTGTACTCACTGGAAAATAACACACCCAGATAAAAACACAGTAGATAATAATACCCTAAAGTTTTTGGGTCTGATTTCAGGAGAACTTGATATAATGCAAAATACAAGCACATGCCTTACCTAGATACAGCTGCTGTAAATGCTGCTTCTGTTTAAGAAATAGCAGTGATGGAGGGGTTTCTGTCTGGATCTTTTATTTTAAATATAAATAACTGAATAAAATAACTGGAAGTGTGGCAGGCTGGAGGAATTCTATGTATTTTTTGCCCTGAAGTTTGAAGGTTTTCTGAAGTTAAGCTCTCCCTCTCTACACGGATGGATGGTTGTGCAGACCACGTGCTCTTACACACCTCCTACTGAGTGGACTTGAAATTGCTCAGCTATGGTACATACTGATTCAGAGTGCCAGAGGACAGTGTAATGTGGGATCTTGCTCCACTACTTTGTACAAAAGGAGTTGCTTTATTGCAGAAAGGTGGGCCAAGAACTCTGGGACCTGAAGCTGGTGTGGAGGGAAGGAATGGCCCTGCTGTGCTGCTGCTGCTGCTGCAAAACTTTTCTCAAGGAGCCTTAGAGCCTGAAATAATCCCGGATTCTGTTCTCATGGTGAAATCCCCTGAGGCTGACCATTTTTTTCCTATATGAAAACATGGTCAAAGCCAGCAAAGTGCAGATCTAATACTCTGGCTTTTATTATTCATATGCAGAAAGATTGAACAAGCTGCATGTGATTAGATCCTGTGATATTCCTTTGCAATAGAAGTTAATCTACTTTTCATCATGTTCCCCAACGGAAAATAAGTAGTTGCCAAAGTCTTACTGGCACTTGTATTTTATAATTTAGCCTGGTGCTTTTTATGGGGCTGCTTTACTGTTCACTCCTGGCAAAATGTTGAGATGTCTCAGATCTGCCACAGAATCTCTAAGGAACCTGGGAAAGATATCAGTCAGACTGGGCATGAGTTACATTCTAAAAATAGAGGGAGTAAGAGCTGAAAATCCCATGACAGGCCTTTTTTAATGAACTGACTCCAAATCCCAAGTCATGATTCATGAAGCTTATCCAGTTTCATTCATTTGCAGTTTTGTTGCAAATGCACGTTCATCCTTTGCCCAGGATCAAAGCTCCAGTTAAGAACCTGGAACTCCCAAAATGAAGGAATTTAGAAACACTTGTATCAACCTAAAGGCCATAAAAGCTGCTTAGCCTGGCCCTCAGGGTGGCACAAGTGAGACTGTATCTCAGCTTTGGTGGAGGTTTATTGTACTGCAAGAGCTTGCAGGCCAGAACAGGGGCCTGCTTTTGATATTGTATTTAATGAGAGACTCCATCCCAGAAGCTGGGAAGTATTGTATATGCCAGCTGCCTTTACACTGACAACCTGGAAAGCCAAGTTTGTGGTCAAACACATATGTGGTAAATGCACTGCATGCAAATAAACTGCATATGACAAAATCAGAGTTAAAACCAAGGAAGAAAGCTTGCAATCTTTGACATATATTAATTACTTCTTGAGTATACTCCACTTCTGAGTTCAAAAGGAGAGTTGTAAATGGAGTAAGGATGAATCGTTTGAAACTTGTCCAGGTCTAACTCTGTTTATTTTGATGGTTATAGATGATCCCTTAGTTGTTGGATCTTACCATATATTAACTGCTATAGCACTTCACTCTGCTTCCTTTGTAGTCGCTTAATTAGTAGTTTTTAAGAGACTCTATCAGTGCTTTCTGGAAGGCTAGGATATAACATTTTACATCCAGTATCCAAACAAAGTATCTTCTTCTGATTACTTCAGAATTACCATGATTAGCAAAGGCTTTCCTGTACTAATGTTTAATTGATATTCACAGATTTTTGGGCCAGTTCAGCCAATTATGAAGTTCAAGAGCATAGAAGAGGTCATAAGAAGAGCCAACAGTACCGAGTATGGACTTACAGCTGCAGTGTTCACAAAGAATCTGGACAGAGCATTAACACTTGCTTCTGCACTGCAATCAGGAACTGTCTGGTAAGCAGTGTGGGACCAGAGCGTGGGCTGGGGTTTTGTTTCTCATGTAGGGAGAGGGATATATGATTTGGAATCAAGTGCTGGAGGTAAGATGTATTAGTAATCTGCTTAATTCTTGATATTCTGCTCAGAAGCAACATCCATTCATCCAAATAAGCTGGTGAGGACCAGACAGTCTGGTGAGAAAGGGGCTGTTTGTTTGTTTGTTTAATTGATGTAGTTCCTCATCAGGAAAACTCTGAAAAAGTAAGGGTTGTAGTAAGGTCCACCAGACACGATGCCTTTCAAAATCCTGTGCGTAGAAAAAAGCAATTCTTATGATCTTTAGGTAGCATCAGAGTGTTAGCTGCACAAATCAATATGGGCAGTAGATGGCATCACTCTACTGTGAGATAAGTAGCTATTTTTGCTCACAAAATTTCTTATTCTATATTAGAATAATTTTCAAGATGGAATCCTAAATTTTTTCACACTCAAGATAGGAATTTGCTCTGATGTCTGATTTTGATGCATACGAAGGACTGCTTTCAAGAACTGGCACCAAAAGAATCTGCCTCTGAGTGATTTTTATATAAAAATGGGATGTTTGGGCTTTGAAGGATACATGTGCTGTACATACATGAAGGTGCAGTCCTACAGCACCAAGCCATACCTGTCTCTCTTGAGTCATTTGATCTTACTGAAATGCCGAGGAAGTATCTGCATTAGCTTTTTCTACCTTCTAGTGTCTATAAAAATGGGGCTAGTGCTTTCAATTTTCTGTGACACAATTATCTAATGCAGTCCAACTCTTTTCTATACCTGGAAGTGGATGGTGGGGCCTGCTTGTGAGTGTTTAGGCAGTTTTCTGAGTAAACATGTTAATTTCAGAATGTGCTTCATTAAACTAGGGAGTAGGTTGGACTGTTTATTTTAAGCACAGCACTGAACACAGCGTAAATTCCAGCTCGAG